CTGAGTTGAGGAGAAAGAGTCTGGGAAAGCCAAGGCAGTTAAAATTTTCAGAGCAGAGTACCTGAGGGCGGGAAAGACAAAAGTTCCAGAAATTTGTATGAAGGACTCTCTGTGTCTTTGGTTGAATAACAGTGAGGACGGGCATAGAGTAAAACCCCAGAAATCTGGGCAAGTACAACACCTAAAGAAAGATCACTGAAGTAGTAGGATAAATAATTTCCAGAGCTCACACAAGGCTGGGAAAACCTCTGGGGTCCCACCAACTAGAGTGGAGATACCTTGTCAAGTACATAAGGCATTCAGTAGAAACTCAGAAGGGCCACACCTTAGAAGGAAACTAAATTAGCCCTATAGTGAGGCTACTCTAGATAATCCCCAAAAGATCTTAAAAATGAGACTTGAAAGCATCAACAAATTCACACATAATTTAAAACTGCCCTCTGGGACAAAGTGTAATTCTAAAGAAAAATAACCACCATGGGTGCCTGGGTGGCTCAGTTGGTTAAGCCGCTGCCTTTGGCTCAGATCGTGATCCTGAATTCCCGGGATTGAGTCCCTCATTGGGCTCCCAGCTCCGTGGGGAGTCTGCTTCTCCTTCTGACCTTCTCCTATCTCCTCCTCTCTCTCACTCTCTCTCTCAAATAAATAAATAAATCTTTAAAAGAAAAAAAAAACAAAAAAACCCAACATGTAAAACTTTCAAAATCCAGCATCTCACCACTAGACATATGAAGGGGTGGATAATGTAACCTATAACTGGGGGGAAAATCAGTTAATAGAACACAGATCCACAAATGAGAGTGATGAGGGAAATGATAAATCAATATGTTAATACAGCTGTTATAAATATGTTACATATAAATATGTTCCTTAAGAATCTAAAGGAAAACATGAACATAATGGAGAAAAAAGTGGAAGACAGAATAAAGAACCAAGAGAACTTTAGGAAATAAAAAATGGCAGTATCTGATGGACACAACCTAAGTTTCTGCCAATGGCTGAGTAGATAAAGAAACTGTGGGGTGTGTGTGTGTGTGTGTGTGTGTTATACACACACACACACACACACACACAGACACACAGACACACACACCTATGGAATATTCAGCCATGAGAAAGAAAGAAATACTGCCATTTGCAACAACATGGTTGGACCTTGAGGGCATTATGCTAAGTAAAATAGACAGAGAAAGACAAATATTGTATGATCTCACTTATGTGTAGAATCTAAAAATGATGAACTCATGGAAACAGGGTAAAACGGTGGTTACTAGAGTCTGGGGGGTGGGAGAAATGGGGAAATGTCGGTCAGTAGAGTATAAACTTCCAATTACAAGATGAATAAGTTTCGGAGATCTAATGTGAAGCATGGTGATTATAGTTAATGGTACTGTATTATATACTTGAAAGTTGCTAAGGGAGATGGTCTTAAATGTTCTTACCACACACACACACACAAAGGTAATTATGTGACAAGATGGAGGCATTAACTAATGTTATGCTGGTAATTATTTTGCAATATATAAGTGTATCAACTCAACGCATTGTATATCTTAAACTTACAAAATGTTATATGTGAATTATATCTCAATAAAGTTGGAAAGAAATGTATGATGGCTTATGACAAAAAAATGCAATATCTGAATTTTAAAAAATTTACTGGATAGGACTGAGAGAAGGTTGAACACTGCAGAAGAAAAGATCAATGAACTTGAAGACATAGCAATAAAATATGTCCAAAACGAAGTGCAAGCAGTCCAGATGTCCATCAACAGATGAATGGATAATGAAGACGTGGACGTGGTGTGTGTGTGTGTGTGTGTGTGTAAAAAAGAGGATACTGTTTTTGTAGAGGCAAAATAGCAAAAACTTTAGAATACTGACACAGAAATAGACAAAAGAGATTGGAAGAAAATAGAACACAAAGTATAAAAACAAATCTATGGGATTTGTTACATGATAAAATCAACATTTCAAATCAATGGGGACAAGAAAAAAGTTTTCTATAAATGGTGTTGAGACAACTACCTATTCATGTGGAAATGAATGTAGCTAGATCCTCATATGTAATAAACTCCAGCTATTTTAAAAGAATTTTAAAAAATTAATTTAAAAGTAATGTGAATAAATTATAAATAAATTTGTGATTATAGGTTAAAAAGGACCTTTTGAATGACCCATGAAAAGGCATTAAACAGAAAAAGAAATATTGATAAATTTGATTACATTAATAAAACCCTTCGGTACAGCAAAAGCAGTTATGTTTCCCCATGCCCTCATTTTTCTTTTTGATTTTCAAAATCAAGGAATGGTTTTATGTATTTGCTCTTCTATATGTTGGAAATAATAAAATACTCTTTTTATTTTTTTTTAAAGATTTTATTTATTTATTTGACAGAGATCACAAGTAGGCAGAGAGGCAGGCAGAGAGAGAAGAAGGGAAGCAGGCTCCCTGTTGAGCAGAGAGCCCGATGTGGGGCTCGATTCCAGGACCCTGGGACCAACACCTGAGCCGAAGGCAGAGGCTTTAACCCACTGAGCCACCCAGGCGCCCCTGGGTGCCCCTATATATACTCTTTTTAGATAGAAAGTCACCATAAGCAAAGTTGAATATCTAGTGGTGTATTAGGACAAGATATTTGCAATATTTATAACAAAACATTGAAATAATAAGAAAGAAAAGAATAACTCAACAGAAAAATAGAAAAAGGGTATAAAGAGGCTAGCATAAAAATACTCGGGAAATCCCTTTTACGAAGATGGTGCCGAAAGCTAAGAAGGAAGCCTCAGCCCCTCCCAAAGCCAAAGCCAAAGCAAAGGCTTCGAAGGCCAAGAAAGCGGTGCTGAAAGGCATCTACAGTCATACACACACACAAAAGAAGATCCGCACATTACTTACATTCCAACGACCCAAGACTCTGTGTCTCCGAAGGCAGCCCAAATACCCTCCAAAGAGCACCCCCAGGAGAAACTAGCTTGATCACTACGCCATCATCAGGTTCCCCCTGACTACTGAGTCAGCCATGAAGAAAATAGAAGACAACAACACGCTTGTGTTCATTGTGGATGTTAAGGTCAATAAGCACCAGATCAAACAGGCTGTGAAGAAGCTCTAGGACATTGATGTGGCCAAGGTCAACACCTTGATGGACCTGATGGAGAGAAGAAGGCATATGTTCTACTGGCCCCTGACTATGATGCTTTGGATGTTGCCAACAAAATTGGGATCATCTAAACTGAGTCCAGCTGGCTAAATCTAAATACAGGTTTTTCATCATAAAAATACTCAAGGTCATTAATAAACACATAAATGCACATTAAAAAAACAATGAGATATCATTTTTCATTCACCAGATTAAAAGAAATCATAAAAGTTCGGCATTATCAAAAATTTGCAAGGATGTGAAAGAATAACAGTTATTTTCATACCCTGCTGGTGATGGGGCAAACTAGTATGAGCTGAAGGCATTTTGATAGTATCCGTCAAAACTGAAAATGCACATAACCTAGGTAACTATTCTAGAAAAACTGAGATTTGTGCAAAATGAGACAAATAAAATGTACTTGTTGTAACAGGGTAAATAAAATCTGGTCTTATCATATAATGTAACACTATACAACAATTAAATGAACTACATTTTTAAATGTGTATAATCTCAAAAATACTGTTGAGAAAATTGCAAAGAAAGTGATACGTTCTTTGACACAATTTATATGAGATATATATATATATATATATATATAAATATATATATAGTACATATATCCCTGGAAAACAGGACTGTTTTATGTATTTTCTTTTTTTTTTTTTAAAGATTTTATTTATTTATTTGGCAGACGGAGATCACAAGTAGGCAGAGAAGCAGGCAGAGAGAGAGGAGGAAGCAGGCTCCCTGCCGAGCAGAAAGCCCGATGCCGAAGGCAGAGGCTTTAACCTACTGAGCCACCCAGGTGCCCCTGTTTTATGTATTTTCATATAAATTATATGGAATGTTAATTTTATAGGTCTAGAATGATAACATAAAACTTATAAAAGTTATTACCTTGGGTAGGGGTATGGGCACTAGGATTTGAAGACACGGTTAAAAGGCTTTTTACTTTTGTCTATAAAGTTCTTATTTTTTGAAAGTAAAATGTACTTGGGTATTACTTTTATAATAAAAATTAATTTTAAGGAATCCATTGCATTTGGCAGTAAGTATGTAATGGGTGAACTTTACTATATTTTCCAATGGATAAATAGAGGCAAAAGGTAAGTGCATTGAAGAATGAAAATAAGTTCAGGATCTAGAGAGAGTGATTATAGACTATTACTCTGAGGAACTGGAACATGAAGGGAAATGGATAGTGGGTAAAAATACATGGGACACTAGATATAGGAAAGAGTTTTTTTTTGTTATAATATCTATATCTATATAAAATCTTTCTCATGTGTATATATAATATATATATACAACGTATAAGGAAAAGGCCATTGGATGGGTTAAAAAGTAGAAATAGATTATAATAGGAGAGAAGGAATAAATTGATCAAGTGAATTATCTTGCCCTAAACATTTAGGGACTATGCATGTTTGTTAAGGATATGGTAGATTTAGAACATGGCTCTGCTTCTAACCAATGAACTTTCAAGGTTTTCTACCACCGTGAAAAGAACTTTAATGAGAAATTTGTCTATATAATTTTCTGATTATTTCAATCATTTTATTGAATTATTTTCAATAATTTTATTTATTTATTTATTTATTTTTAAGATTTTATTTATTTATTTGACAGAGAGATCACAAGCAGGCAGGGAGGCAGGCACAGAGAGAGGAGGAAGCAGGCTCCCTGCTGAGCAGAGAGCCCAATGCGGGGCTCGATCCCAGGACTCTGAGATCATGACCTGAGCCGAAGGCAGCGGCTTAACCCATTGAGCCACCCAGGCGCCCCTATTTTCAATAATTTTAAACCGAGCATCCTTAACTGAATATTTTTGTAGAGAAAAAGAAAAAAAGTTACCCCAACAGAAATCCCCATTCCCAGGGAAATTTCATAAGGAAGTGGGAAATAACAGCAGTGGAACATGCCTCCATGAGGCAAGGACCAATAGCCAACCTTAAACAAACTCTCTTCAAATGCTTCAAAGCCTGAAATATAAAAATAATCACATTTAGACAAACTTATAATGGCCAACAAGAAAATTATTTAAGTAAATTCTGAAATATATAGTCTTTTTTGAGTAATTAGCTTTTACTAAGCTAAATCTTCCAGATTGTCCCACTGGGCTTGAAATGCTAATGCAGCTCATTTTGTAGGTCCATTGGATTATAAACTATTTCACATTTTGTAAAACATTTTTGTATCTAAACTATTTTAAAAGATCAATTTGTCTGTAATTAAATAACTATTTCTACCTTCCTTAATCTTCCTTATAAATAATATAATGAAAGTAACCTATGTTTATTTCCATCAGTTAACTTTTAGAAATGACTTGTTTGATTAATTTAATAATTATAATAGAAAATACCAATGTGTCAAAAGAGAACATCACTTAAAGACAGCATAACTTACTAAAAGGGAGAAATTTATAATTTTTTCATTGGTTCTATTTTTCTACTTGAGAATATAATAAATTATAAGTTTTTAATGCTCTTTTTAAAAAAGATTTTTTTAAAAAGATTTTTAAAATTTATTTGACAAAGAGAGAGAAAGAGTGAGTGAGAGTACAGAAGCAGGGGGAGCTTCAGAGAGAGAGGGAGAAGCAGGCTCCCCACAGAGTAGGGAGCCCAATGTGGGGCTCAATTCCAGGACCTTGTGGATTCAGGGATCATGACCTGAACGGAAGGCATATGCTTAACCGAACTGAGCCACTCAGGTGCCCCTGTCTTTAGGCTCTTGAAAATATGCTCTTAAAAATATCTTGAGATATTTCCACTAAACTCTTATACTTGTTGTTTGAGTACCGTTATACTCATGAATAATCATCTTTTTAAAAGCCAAATAGATTTACCATTCTAGATATTAATATTTTAAGAAATATTTAAAAGGATTAGCTTCTATAATAATTCAAAGTTAATCAGGCATATATTCTGTGGGGGGGGTGGGTAGATAACAATCACGAAACAAAAATATTACCAAAATACTTAACCCCTCTGAAAAACAAAATAAAAGAAAAGCAAAAACAGTTTAGAAGTGGACCTTATCCTTTATTAACTGGAAAGTAAATAGTTCTCCACAGAAAACCTGCAGCTCCCAAACAATACAAATGCTGTACAAGGGAATGTTATCTCTATACAAATAATTAAAGATGAGCTCTAATAAAGATCTCGTATCATTACAGATGATCTCTAATAGAGATCTCACATCATAATGATTCTCTTCATATCAGCAATAATGGTGACCAGAAGTAGAAATTATAAGATGCCAATATTTCTGCAAAGTCCTTTTCTCTTAGTGTTGCTTACAGGCTTCATTTGGAATAGCTTTAACAAAAATTTTGCCTCTTTTTCTTTTCTATAAGCCCCTAATATTTAAAATATTTTTTTAAAGACATAATTAGAAATCTACCTGTGGATCAAGTCCAAGTCCAGCTTGTATTAGGATAATGGTAAGGGCACAGTTTCTTAAAGCTGAAGACCACCTGTTATTAATACGGATGTAATTACTGAGGAATGGAACATTTCTGACAGTAAAACCAGCCAGTAACATCCCTTAAAAGAAAGAAAATAAAGCACATCTCATTCATTTAATTTTTCCAAGTTAGAAGAGAGAAATGTTTAATTTCCCTTCTTCATACACACTGTATCTCATTGCTTTGGCGAAGGGCAGCTTACATACAAATAGAGGAAGCAGCATAAAAAATGACATACCTTAAAAGGCTACAACAAGTAATTCAGTGTTGTTGGGACATAAAAGGCAAGGAAGGGAGTAGGAAAATGGGCAGGAAGGGACAGATAATATAAAGCTAACCCCCCTGCAGCCTCCATTTGCACTGCTTTGCCAGAGTAATGCACCATAGGAAAGTTTTAGGAGGAAGTGACATAACGAGTCTTGGTATTTTCCACGTGATGGTCTTGATGAATTAGATAGACATAAAACTGGAGGGGAGAACAATTAGAAGGCTCTGCCATAGTCCATCAAAAAGTGGAAAACATTGGGGCACCTGGGTGGCTCAGTGGGTTAAAGCCTCTGCCTTCGGCTCAGGTCATGATCCCAGGGTCCTGGGATCAAGCCCCTCACCGGGCTCTCTGCTCAGCGGGGAGCTTGCTTTCCTCTCTCTCTCTCTCTCTCTCTCTGCTGCCTCTCTGACTACTTGTGATCTCTGTCTGTAAAATAAATAAAAAATCTTAAAAAAAAAAAAAGTGGAAAACAAATAGCCTAAGCTAGGACAAGAGTGGAAGTTTTGGACAAAAAAAAAGATTCAATAAATACCTAGCAGGTGCTGAAAGGGTGCTGTGGACATAGAAAAGGTATTAGCAATAGGATGGAGTGATTATCTCTAATGAAAGTGTACTGAATATTTGGGTGTATTGAATATTTAGAAAATATGAGACACCACTAATAGACGTTCTTCCACTAATTTTCCTCTGTCCAGATGGAGAATTATATAGTAATGGTAATGATAAAATACTAGTTAGGCAGATGATGCATCCAAGAATGTACATAGTAGAGATGTCCATATAGCTTACTCAAAAGTCATAAAACCTTCTTATGCCCTAATCACTACAGTATTTGAATCTTATAATTGAATTTGAGTTACGTTATCTACAGAAAAATTCAGTCTTTTCCAAATGTTTCTTTTTCTACAATATATTTAAAATTAACTAAAAAATGTCCTATTAAATAAGGCAACAGGAATCATATATTGGATATATTTAAATTATTTCAAAAATATTTTAAGAAAAAAATCTGTGTGCTCATTTGTAGAAAGAATAAATAGTTCTAGAAATGAGCTATAAGCATACATATATGGTAAATACATACATAAAGATCATATTACATTGAAATCTTTCTATATTATATCTATTCTGTCTATAGAGTATGTTCATAATTTACATATAGTTAATAACAAAGAAATAAGAGCTAACTGTACACTTACCAAGAAGAGGTGGAAGTTGAGGTACTGAAGGTATTCTAATGTGTTCCAAAAGCTTCCCCCCAATAATAGCACTATAAAAGATCATTAATAGTCCAAATAAATTTCCACCAGGGAGAACTTCAGTGCCAAAGAATGACCAGGCTACACACCATACCATAAAAATTGTAACTCCTGAAATATAAAAAAAATCATATAACCATATATCTACATAGACATAGATATATATATACAAAAGATGAATTCTATTTTATCAAATGTCATTATTAATAGTCCTATATAATGAATGATACATAGCATTGACTAATGTTTGCTTGTTAGAATAATTGAAATCATATCCATTTAATATATATTCCAAAGTTCCTATCAATTTATGGGACAAGTTTTTAACAAAGTATTATCATTACTTTCTTTTTGAGGATACTTGAAATATGTTTAATAATAAGAGACAACCAACATTCTCTTTTTATTTTTATTTGCATTTATTCTGTGCAGTATTTACTCCTGGGCTATAAATTTTTGTTTCTTCAGTTTCTTTTGGGATATCGTTTTCTTCTGTGCAACCTCCTCTTCTGGTTTAGGAACAATCAGCCCTTTTTCAGTAAGGATCATCTTGGTGTGGCAAGGAAAGCTCATGTATGGGTTAATTCGATCTGAGCCCTGTAAATTCTGTGCTGCATCGTGGGGGCTTTGTTCACCCAGATGTGCTCAATGACCAGAGAATCAACATCTAAACCCTTAAGTTCAGCATTACTCTCTGGAATTTTAAGCATGGGCAGGAAAAATTCAGCACTCTTCTTGGGCCACTGACCCTGTGTCCAGCCCCACTGTTTGGCCTGGGCACACCTACCAACTTCATCATGATAGCAACGGAATGGCATTTACTGCTTCTGCAAAGTGACCATCAGTCAGATACTGGGTGGCTTTTTGAATATGCGTACCCTTGTTGGCCTGGGCAGTTACATATGTGTTCCTAAAGTGAGTACACAGATCTGAACCTCTAGATTTGCATAATTTTGTATGGTTTTCTGGGTCAAGCAAATAGTAAACCATTTTCTGAGGTCACCTCAGGCCACTTGGGGGAAGAGCCAAAGTATTATCATTTAAAAAAATATTTTAAAAGTATATGTGAGTCCTTTAAAGCGCTAAACTGATTATTAAGAGCAATAAATATAACAAAATATTGTTGAATTTATAGCATATAGAGGTCTATTGGCTCAAAGCTGCTGTATACCACAGGAATTAAGTCAATGTTAAACTGAAGTAGATTGTGAAAAATTGAAGATAATAATTATAATCCACAGAGAAATCACTAAAACTAAAACCTCTAAAATATAGCTAAAAAATTAACAGGGAAATTGAAATAGTGCACTAACAATATTTGGTTAGCACAAAAGAAGCAGTAAAGAATGAACAGAAAAACAAAAGACATGACACTTACAGAAAACAAGTAATAAAACGGTAGACATAAGTTCAACTAAACCAGTAATTATGTTAAATGTGTTTGGTCTAAATTCAAAAGGCAAAGATTATCTTACTGGATTAAAAAAAAGAGATCCAATTATTTGGTATCTATAAGAAAGATACTTTGGATGAAACAGATAAGCTGAATGTAAAAGATGAAAAAAGACATTTTATGCAAACAATAATCAGGAGTCAAAGAAGTAAACCCAAGGGGACTTACAACTTATCTTAAAGCAAATAAAAATGAAAACACAGCATATCAATATTAACGGGATATGATGTGTACAGATGGAAAAGTATAGCTTTAAAAATATTAGAAAAAAAGAATTATCTAAAATTGACAATAAAAACATCCACCTTAACAACTTAAAAAAGAGAAGTAAATCAAACCAAAAGTAAGTAGAATGTATGAAATTAAAAAGATTGAAGTGGAAAATAATTAAATAGAAAACAAAAACATTAGAGAAAACCAATGAAATAAAAATTAATTATTTGAGATCAATAAGATAGATATGTCTAGCTAGACTGACAAAGGAAAAAGAAGGTACAAATGACCAAAATCAGGAATTAAAGAGGAAACATCACTTTAGATTTAGAGAAATTAAAATAACACAAAGGAAATATTGTAAAAAACTAGATAAAATAGATAAATTCTACTTTTTTAAAAAAGATTTTATTAATGTATTTAACAGAGAGAGAGAGAGAGAGAGAGAGAACAAGCATGAGGAGTGTCAGACAGAGAGGGAGGGAGAAACAGGCTCCCCAAGGAGCAGGGAGCCTGATGTGGGGCTTGACACCAGGACCCTGGGATCATGACCTGAGACGAAGGCAGTTGCTTAACCAACTGAGCTACCTAGGCGCCCTGACAAATCCAGAGAAAGATACAAGTTACCAAAACTGAGTCAAGAAGAAAGGAAAATAGAAATACCATATGACCCAACAATTCTGCTTCTGAGTATTTATACAACAAAAATAAAAACAGTAAGTCAAAAAGATATATGCACCCTCCTCCTGTTCACTGCAGCATTCTTTATAATAACTGAGCTAGGGAAACAACATTAAATATTCATTTAAGGTGAATGGATAAATTGTGGTATATATATACAATCAAACATTTTTCAGTCACAAAAAAGAAAAAACTTGGGGTGCATGGCTGGCTCAGTTATTGGAGCTTGTGACTCTTGATCTCTTGGTAATTGCGAGTTCAAGCCCCATGTTGGATGTAGAAATTACTTTAAAATATTAAAAAAAAAAAGAAAAGAAAGGAAAAGATAAAACTCTTTGCCACTTGAGACAACATGGATGGACCTTGAAGGTATTATGCTAAGTGAAGTAAGTCAGACTAAGACAAATACTGCATGCTCACCTCTACATGGAATCTAAAAATCAAGCTTACAGATATGGAGAACAAACTGATGGTTGCCAGAGGCAGGGATGGGGGTGTTGACAAGATAGGTGAAGGGGGTCAGAAGTTACAAACTTCCAGTTATAAAATAAATAAGTTACTGGAACGTAATGTATAACATGGTGCTATTGTTAATGATACTGTATTATATATTTGAAAGTTGCTAAGAGAGTAGATCTTAAAATTTATCATTATAAGAAAAAAAGTTTCTGTGTATGATGATGGACGTTTACTAGATTTATTGTGGTGATCATTTTGTAATATATACAAATATGGAATCATTATATTGTGCACCTAAAAACTAATATAAGATTATATGTCAATTATACCTCTGTTTAGAAAATTAAAAAAAAAAAAGCCAAATTGAGACACTTTCAGACAAAAGCTGAAAGAATGCCATAAGACTTATACTGCAAAAAACACTGCAAGAAGATTTTTAGACTGAGGGAAAGAATTCCACATGAAAATTCAGATTGCCAGAAAGAAATGGAGAGAACCAGAGAATGTAAATATGTGGACAAATATGAGACTTTTTTAAACTTAAAAAAAAGACTGTTGGCTTTTAAAAGCAAATGTAGAAGTAAGAATATATACATCAATGTAGAAGTAAAAAGTAAGAATGTAGAAGTAAAAGTATATATAAATCTTGCACTGAAGGCAGAGGAGGGATAAATAAAGTCATATTGCTGTAAGGCTCTTCTATATTGATGTGATGACCACAGGATATGTAGGTTTATGGTAAGTCTTGTAGTTGGGTAGTGTCAATTCTCATCTAATTTTTCTCCTTTGATACTACATTGGCTCTTCTCAGTCTTTTGCCACTTTATATAAACCTCAGATGAGTCTGTGGGCATCCACAAAGTAACTTGTCGGGGTTTTGATTGAGGTTGTATTGAATCTATGGATCAAGTTGGAAAGAACTGACATCCTGACAATATTGAGTTTTTCATGAACAAGGAAAATCTGTGCATTGATTTAGTTCTTTTTTTATTTCTTTCACTAGAGTTTTGCAGTTTTCCTTGTGTAGATCTTGTACATATTTTATTAGCTTTATACTTAGGTATTTTATTTTTAGGGGCACTAATGTAAATAGTAATGTATTTTCAATTTCAAATTCCATTTATTCATTGTTGATACATATGAAGACAATAACTGACTTTTGTATTATTAACCTTCTATCCTGCAATCTTGTTATACTTGCTTATTTGTTGTCTCTGGAGTTTTCTTCTTGATTCTTTTAATTTTCTACCCAATCATGTCATTTGTGAACAAGGGAAGTTTTATTTCTTTATATACTTTGTTTTTGTATTTTTTATTTCTTCATATGCTTTGTTTCTGCTTTTCTTATTGTATTAGCTAGGACTTCTAGTATGATATTGAAAAGGAGTAGTGTGAGAGGGCATCCTTGTCCTATTCCTGGTCTTAGTTGGAAAGCTTCTGGTTTCTCACCATTTAGTATAATGGTGGCTGTGGATTTTTAGTCTATTTTTTTTTTTTTATCAAGTTGAGGAAGTTTCCCTCTATCTGTAAATTATGATGGATATTGGATTTTGTCAAATGTTTTTCCTGCACCTGTTACTATGATCATATGATTTCTCTTCTTTAGTCTGTTCATGTTATGGATTACGATCATTCTTTTTCAAATATGAACCAACCTTGCATACCTAGAATAAATCTCGCATGGTTGCATGATGTATAATTCTTTTATACATTGTTAAGTCGATTTAGTAATATTTTGTTGAGGATCTTCTTCTGTGCTTATCAGGGATACTGGTTTATGATTTTCTTTTCTTGTAATGTTTTTGATTTGGGTATGAGGCAAATGCTGACCTCACAGAATGATTTGGGAACTGTCCCTCTGCTTCCATCTTTGGGAAGAGATTGTAGAAAATTGGTATAATTTCTTTCTTAAATGTTTGGTAAGATTCTCCAGTGAAGCCATTTTAGGTCTGGTGCCTTTTGTTTTGGGAGGTTATTAATTATTGATTCAATTTATTTAATAGATATATTCCTATTAAGATTGTCTATTCTTGTGTATATTTTGGTAGATTGTGTTTTTCAAGAAAATGGTCTATTTCTTCTCAATTATCAAATTTGTGAGCTAAGAGATGTTCACAGTATTCCTTTATTATCTTTTTATCTTATCTTTAATATCTTTCTACAGGTCCATGGGTAGTGATGTAGTGATGTCCCTTCTTAAATTTTTTTTAATTAATTAATTAATTTATTTGACAGACAGAGATCACAGGTAGGCAGAGAGGCAGGCAGCAGAGAGAGAGGAGGAAGCAGGCTCCCTGCCGAGCAG